TCTTTGCACACTCTGCACACTCTACACGTTGAATAATTTTCCATTCTGACCTTGTTTGCATTGGTACAATGAGCAGCCAAAATCAAGATTTCAAGTTCAGACCATCCATATAAAAGAAAAGTGAGATTTTATTGGCATTTTTTGGTAGCCAAGGTTTGTTTGTTTTTTTTCAAAATCAATATAAATGGGATCTTACCAATGACAAAAAAGGGTAATAATGAATCATACTGGAAGATGCCTCTCCTAGTGTTGATAACTCTAATTCTGTCTTCCGCTGCTTCATTATTTTTCCATAAACATTCTAATGTTTGTACAGATGCCAGTTTCCAAACATTTGATGATCCAACTGATGAATCAAATGTCAATTTATAGTCAATACAGAGCAAAAGCTAGTTAAAGAGGGGGGATGTGCCTTTTATAATAGTCCAATATCATTTTATTAATCAGAAGTTGATCATTTGTACCTCTGCTTTTTCTTTTATTCTTTTTATGTTCTGCCTGAAGTATATTATTTGTCCTAAATAATATTGGATGTTCTCTCTTATTATCCCTATGAGTAATTTAAACACTGTAGGCAAGCATGTTATTGACCTATCATCTCCTGTTATGTCCCTTTTGCTGGGTCTTTTTGAATCAGATAAATTTTGCCAGATTAGTTATGAACTACTTTTTCAGTGCCGTTGTAACCAGGGGTGGGATTCTATCAGTTCAAACCAGTTCAAGGGAACCAGCAGTTCTGGCGATCATTTGGCCCCACCCACCCATCCCTGCCCTAGTCTGTCTTTTATCTCTGTGTTTTGCAGCTCAGCTGATTCGTGCGGCACAGCGGATTGCCGCGCCTCAGCTGTTTTACTCACTGGGGCTGCAGTAGAAGGTAAGTATTAGAGCTGGAAATGGGCAGTTTTTAAACACTGCATGTGCATGCAAAGTGCACATTTGGCATGTGCTCAAAGCAAGCATGCGCAGACAAAGTGCACATTCACCAAAGTGGTTGTTACACTGGTTGAATCCCACCACTGGTTGTAACTTTGAATGGTCACTAAACAAACTGTTGTAAGTTAAGGACTACTTGTAAATGGAAAGTCTCAGGATGCATATTTATTCAGACTTAGATAATCTCTTGCATTTAGACTGGCAGGGCGGCTGCAATATTATAATGCAGGCTGGCTATTTAGGCCATGATTGGGGCAGAAAAAGTATGTTATCAGAGCTTGTAATCAAATAGCATCAAATTCAAGTCCATGAAATATTCTTTGAATTTATGTTCAACTACTGTTAGAAATGTTTGTCAGAAATATAAACCAACTACTTGTCAACAATTTGAAAGAGAGCCTGGGGCTGGTTGTAGGACAGATGCAGGGGTATAATGTAAGCTTTCAAGATTATTGGTATGTATTCTTTCCAGACAACAGAATGTCTTAAAATAGCTACAGAACTAAGATGTAAGATGCAAATTAACTGCTCTAGCAGGCCTGTCAAACTGACAGCCCATGGGCCATATATATCACGTGCAGACCACACCCACCCCAGCTCTGCAAAGGCAAAAAAATGTCATGATACATCACAATACATCACGATCTGGCCCATGACATGCTGATAATTACTGGTCCAATCCTTGGCACCTCTAGTTTAAAAAAACTCAAGTAGTTGATGATGGGAAACATGTATGTCTGAGTACTGGAAAACCATTGTCACAGTAAACAATAATAGGCAGATATACAGCTTGACTACGTATTAGAGAAGGCACCTTTCTCTGTTCCTGGGCAGTTGCTTTGGCACTCCATTCCACTAGTAAGTAGTTGAAGATCTCAAGTCATCCTCAAGAAAAAGTTTCAGGGACTATACAGAATGACAACACACAACTCTGGGTGGAACAAAACTGGATGTTTTTTTTTAAAAATCTAAGTTAGTGTTAGTTCCTTTAATTAGCCTGCTTCAAAGGAAAGGTGGGATAGAAATCAGATAAAATGAATAAATTTGCAATTATTTATTTGTGTTGAATATGAAAGACTAAAAAAAGATAAGTAAACCAACGTGATGTAGCAGGATTACACAACATGGGAACTTTCAGCAAAATAAAAGGGAAGGAAGTCACATATACTATATGACAGAAGAGAATAGAGGAACACAGTGATTCATAAATTAAAAGAATAGTGGAATGCTGCAATTGACCTCTAGAAAAAAGGGTTTCTGCTCTTTAACTTAACATACAAACTGTTTATTTTGGAGAGATTCCAGACTATTACTTCAGCTCATGCTAGAAAAACTGGTTCCAGTCATTCAATGAAGCAAATAGGTTTACCCAGGACAAAGCTGTATTTAAAAAAAAAATTCCTAGGAGAGAATTCAGTTTAATTAGAATGCATAATCTGAATTCTGCTTTAATGTTTTGTTGTCTTTCTTAGTACTTTTTATTACAAAGAAAATAAATTTTCAGAGTTTTAGACATAAAATCTCTGCGGTTTTGAATTATTTACCAGCATTATAAAAATCCCTTTTTTACTAATTAGCAATGAACTTATGTTTGTATAAATGGGTGCCAACAGGTTTAAGCACCAAAGTGAAATCATGCATAAAACATGACTGAAAGACTTATAAAACTGAATAAATCCAAATCAAAAGAAGTTGGGATCTTCAATTCCATTATTTGCAGAATGGCATAAAATGTAGGAATTTGTAGAGCCACTCTCTCAAAAAGTTCACTTTGTAAGATTGATAGAGATGTTTAAACATAAAGTGCATGAGTTTAGAAAAAAAAAACAGCTTATGGGATTTTGCTGGAAAAAGCATGATCTAAAACAAAATAATACAACCATTACTCAGTATGTTTTGAGACATGTTTCCCTTTCATATGGACATTGCAGCAAGTTGCTACATGAAATAATAAGTAGTTCCTTTTTAATTGAAAAAGCAGTTCATAAATATATGTGCTGTGAATACACTAAAAACAAATATTTGATTTTAAAGATAAAATAGTTATGCTAGTCTGTAAGGAGGTACTTTTTTGTAATATATGCAGTTCAGCTGGAACTGAAGATTTTTACTGCTACTTTGGTAAACCTCACTGCTTGCAGTCAATTTCAGTTGATAGTAATGTAGGGTTGCCATATTTGAGTAGCAAAACTCCAGATGCCCTCCAGATGCCCTCCAGATGGAAACAAAGATAAACCACCTTTCTGTTGCCAAAACTAATGGTCATTTCAATTCTCACAACCCCGATAAGGAAGTTTTAACAAATGGATTCACAGGATTTCACAATACAGCTGTCAAGCATGGGAAATCAGGAGTCCAGGCAGTTCAAATACATTTATTGCAAGCTTAACCTCTCTACAAGAATCTACTAACAGTCAAAGCAAATTGGGGGTAGATAAGAGTCAACAGAATTTAAGGTGGGCTGCACTTAGATCTCTTGTGGGCACGAAGGGATTCAAGACTGATGACACATTTGACCCCTCCTTCTTCCATGGGTTCAGCCTGGTCATTTCCTAAAACAGCTTTCCAAATTATTTGTATGGCAGGTTTCAAATGATTTGCGTATATTCTGTGATTGTTATATGTAGTGTGAATAACGATTCTAGCCAATTAATATTTAAGTAACTTTTCATCCTTATGTAAAGCAGGGGTTTAAAAAATGATTCATGTGTGCTTCTGTGCTCCATGCAAATGAAAATATTATATATAAATATTATATAAATATGTTTACTATGTTTATTAAAAAGGGCACAAGCTGATAATTTGAGCACAAAGAAGAATCCAGGAAGGTTTTGGTTTTTTAGCAAAGTATAAACAACAGTGTTCTTAAATGAAACAAGAAAGCTACCAATAGTTAAAGAACAACTCATCAAATAATAATGTAGGACAGGGAAATGGGATAGAATAATAACGTAAAGAAAGGAGGGGGAAAGATCAGCTGGTAAAGTAGTAGAAGGGATATTCTATGATTTGTCAAATGCTATCCTCCAAGACAGGGATAAATTCAATTGCAAGTACTGCCATCCAATATTTGCTATAAATATTGAATTTTCTTCAGAGAATCTTATTCATCTTCATCTTTCCTTCATACTCTGAAGCCAAATTTTCCCATGATTTCCAGATGCTATTTTATTTCCAGCCTTAGCATTCTATAGTTGCCAGGAATTAGTGTGATTATTTAAGTGCTTGTGGACAAGGTTCACATAACATCACAGAATTAATTTCTATTCCCTTAGCATGTGGAACACTGTTTATTCTGATTTTTTTGCCTTTGACTCAGACTGAGATCTTGCTATCATTTTTTTAATAACCTAAACAAATATCAATAATAATGACAGCTACTCCAGTCCCACTCTCATTTTTCTTCTTTGCAGTGGATATATTGTTCTTCTGATGAGAAGTGACCCATTCTAGTCCATTTCAATTGACTGATTCCCAGAAACTCAATGTTCAATCTTGACATTTTTACTTGGACATCATCACGTTGCCTTGATTCAGGGTTCTGACATTCCATATAAAAAATATGTAAGGGTGTATGTATTTTGGCAGCCCTGAATTTTTCCTTTGGGAAAGTAACATGCTGCAAAGGAGAATTCCGCTCTCAAATATAATCTTTTATTTCCAAGAATGTTTCTGGACCACAAAGTCCCATAGATGTCTTAGAAAATAAAAAGTATTGAAGAATGGAATCTCAGATTTTTTTTGGGAAGGGGAAACACAGAAAATCTCTTGAAATGCTAGAAATAGCGTGGCTGTCTCAATGGTTTGCTTACTGATAAATGGGACTAGTCACATTAATACAGCTTTCTTAAAAGTTTTTCTAGTCCACAAAAATTTACACTGTAGTAAACCAGTTTCTAAACATGACCTTACTCTTTGTTGCTTTTTGTGGAATCCTAGATTCATGTGTTAGTGACTCTGAGAAAACATACAAAAAATCTAATTTGAAAAACAAGGGACATAATTTATGGGAAGGACAACCTATGAATAAGTATGCAGTGTAACAGGGAAAACTTGTTTCTTTCCAGGAAGCATGTGATAAGAGCCAATATAAAAAGGAACAGGAAGCACTCCGTCCTTCAATAAAAGATGTAAGACCATCAGAGCACAATAAATATGAGGATCCTTTTGCATCTTGGCATCATAAGCAGGTAATACAATTATTAATGGTAGACAGAAAACAGATCAAGATCAATGTGATATATCAAGGATTTGTTCCTCAGAATTTTTAATGATGACAGTAAAAAATGATTACCTATCACGAACTTATCTAGATATGTTTCAGTTGGGATTCAGCACCGAGATAGCCTTGGTTACCTTTACTGATGACCTGTTGCAGAGCCAGGATAGAGGAGATACATCCATCCTGGTGTTCCTTGATCTCTCAGCAGTTTTTGACCCCTCTGACCACAGCATCCTTGTGAACCATCTGCAGGGACACCATTTTATGGTTATTTTCATCCTTCTTTCATGGTTAGCTCCAGTAGGTGTTATCAAGAAAAGGTTGTCTCCTAGACCCTATGATATGGGGTGATCTTAATATTGTCCCTTCTTGTTTAATGTCTGCATGAAGCCATTAGAAGAGGGGTCTGATGTTCAGTATCATCATCAGTATGTTGATGATATCCAGTTATATCTTTTGACTTTAGACTGACCAAATGAGGCTCTTGGGAACTATAAAGGCCTAGTTGGGGAAAACCTGAATTTGATTCAGTCCTACAAAGTCTGAGTAGCTGTGGATATTCGAGACTTCTGCATCCAAGACTTTCCATTCATACTCTTGGATGGAAAAGCACTTCCTTGCTCAAGAATGATGCACAATCTGAGGGTCTTTTTGGAATTACAGCTCAAAAAGAAGTGGCAACTATGGCCAAGAGAGACTTCCCTCACCTTTATCTTCTGGATCAGGAGGTCCTTCAGACAGTCAATCATGCCGTAGTCATCTGAAGGCTCAATTACTGCAAAGTATTTTCCATGAAAACCATTCAGAAGCTTCAAATGATCCAGAATATAAACATTTGAGTGGTGATAGGCATGCCTCAATATGACTATATGACACCTCTGTTCTACAAACTGTGCTCGTGGCTGGACTGTTTGGCTCTCAATTTGTTGCTGTCCCATAAAAGCCTTACAGATCTTTGTAGAGATTCTGTCATCCAGGTCATGGTTGTCCCAAAAGTGCTTTTTCAGGAGGCAACTGGACATTCTTGGGTTTTTTAAAAGACATTTTGCTTCTCACCCAAGAAGATTCTTCAGCTCTGAAGGATAGTCAGAGGATTCCATTCCCCATATCCTGCCAGAGTTGAGGAAGTTCCTTGGATGTGAAGCAAAACATCTTTAAAAACAAACAAACAAGAAAATCCAGTTGCCTTCTGAAAAAGTACCATTAGGACCTTGCAGATCTTGTTATTCTCCCAGGTCTTGCTGTGAAATAAATGAGGCTGCTTGGTGTGTTTGCTATTTTTGTTTTGTTTAAATTCTACCCAAATATTCTCTGGGATTTGTTACTGTTTGTAAACCACCCAGAGTTGACAGTGTCCAATTTGATTTAAAATTAAGTTTAATTAAGAAAGTTTATGATAGAAATTGATTTCGTTGTTTATAAACTATGAGCTCCATTCAACTCAGCTAGTTCCTTAGTTCAGAATTATTCTACATGTATTTCTTTGACATTTGGCTCCTGTTTTTAAGATTTTTAGTAGATGCCTACTGATCTGTGTTCCATAGGAGGATAGTGATGGTGATAATGAAGATTTGCATGACTTCACGATTATGGCTAGACATGATGAACAATGGCCCAAACTGATATATAAACACAATCAGGTTCTCAATCTTTAGGTATTTTATCATTTTTAGGCATAACATTGCCAACACAAAGCTTTGTTCAAAAATAAAACAAAGCATTTCCTTTCTGAATTTTTTTTCCAGCTTATTTTTGTGATGTGTATAGTAATGATGCATATAAATAAAATTCTGAGTGTCCTAGCTTGTTCTCCTGCTGCCATGCTCCTCCTCCGACTTCTGGATTTTCATTGAGGCATTTTCTTCCTTGCTGAAGCATAGAGAACTTTTGGTTTCATTTCCTTCATTTGCCATGGTCTTGAGTTTGGTGGTAGCTTCTCCTCTCTTAGGTGGAACATGCTTAGTCATGGCCTTGACTGAAGTACGATTAGTTAGCTGCTCAGTGACCCTTCTACCACAAACATCCCCCTGGGTGTTCTTTGAAGCTGAACTCTTCCTTGCTCACTTTCAGGAGTTCCTTCTTTTTCGGTGTTCCACCTGTTCACAGGCCTAAATTCTGGCTTTTCATTACTGCATTACATTTGACTTCTAATAAAACTATACTTTTTTCAACAAATGGAGCAAAGGATTGTTTCTGTTTAGGAATTTCAACTGTGGCAGGTCTGACATTAAGCCAGAACTGAGGATCATGTGTCAAAATTCCTAAGTTCAACTTTTCCCTTCTTTGACCACCTTCCATTATCCACCCCATGCAATCAATCAGGTTCCAGCAGGGTGTTTTCATAACAGACAGTCCAAGCACAAGTTGGTATACAGCTAATACAGTGGAATCTCTGGTCACAACTGTAATCTGTTCCAGGACTTCAGTTGCAACCCGATTTGGTCATGACGGGAAGCAAGACTGACCGAGCATGCACATAAAAAAATAGCATGGAAGGGAATTTGCCGCAGCAGTGAAAATCACGGCTGTTTGATCGCCACCTGAGGATGTGTTCACAACCAGAGTGAAACATTTAGCTGATTTTTTGGTCGGCACCCAATTTGGTCGTGGTCAGAAGTGTTTGTGACCCAAAGTTCTATTATATGCCGGGTGACCTTGAAGCAGCTTCTTGAAGAGATACAGCACTTACTTTCATTTTCCCCCTTGTCATCCTCCCTCCCCACAGTTCATGGCATTAACTGTAAGAGAAGATTTGCAGAGCCAGGGGAAGGAATCAAGAAAGAAATCAATTAAGGTCTCTATGTAGTTACAAGAGAACAAAGTCCAATCTCCTTTGAATGCTGTTGAACTTACCTAGTTTAACCCAGGTGCAAATGTTAGTTTGAGAAAAGTCATGTGCATATGCTTGAGCAATAATAAATCAGTAATTTTGAATTCTTTGCATGTGGACTAGGTTCTTTGAATCTGATATTAACCCATATGTCATTTTAAACAATTTGGTTTAAAAAAATAAAGTTGGCATAATTGAGGTTACGCTGTTCTCCTATCCTTCAAATACCTGTCACTCTATATTGTTATTAATAATTATAGAATAGAATGTAACTAACCCTGTCACTACAATATATAAAAACCACTATATGTTTACTGCAATAGCTATTAATAGGTGCCCATGAAAATTTGAATTCCATGTTGGATTATATTCGTAGTTGTTATATTTTTTTTACTTCATAGAATAGACATGGCAGAAGCTTAGATATTCAAGATCGGCCTAAGGGCCCAAAGGATTGTAGAGAACCAGGTGCATCATCTATGTTCCGGAGACACACTGATCCAGCGCAACAAGTACAGGTACTGTACACTCATCTTTTAGCTTGATCGGTAATACAGCTCAACCTTGATTTTTTTAAAAAAATAAATCAATTTAATTTTTCTATGTATGTCGCTCGAAGAGAAAAAAAATGACATTAAGCAAAATGGAAAACTTAGGGGAAGCTCTCAGGAACTTCCAAAATGACTAAGAAACAGCAATACTTAATGTGATGGGAGCTATTTAATAATTTCAGTATTGAAGTAATTTAAATAATTGATGGGTATGCATTTTAATTATATTATTTTAATTCATTTTAAATGTAAATATCAATCTTAGTTATTTTCTTGAACCCACACACTATCTTTTGGTGCAACCCAACACAGCTCTTAAATATCAATCATAGCTTTCAATCCAGAAATAGCTGGGCATGTGTATCATTGGGTTTATAACGTATTAATGGTACCTAGGAAAACCAGTAAGCCAAGAGACAACACTGTGGTTTCTGTCAATTAACTTTATTAATTAGAACAAGTTGCTCACATAGAGGTAGCCCTTGACTTACAACAGTTCATTTAGTGACCATTTGTAGTTACAACAGCGCTGAAAAAAGTGAGTGACCCTTTTTCACACTTATGGCTGGTCATTGGATCAAAATTTGGATGCTTGGCAACTGGTTCATATTTATGATGGTTGCAGTGATCATCTTTTGTGATCCTTTGTCAAGCAAAGCTAAAGGAGAAGCAAGATTCACTTAAAAACCATGTTACTAACTTAACTGTGGCAAGAAAGGTAGTAAAATGGGGCAAAACTCACTTAGCAAACATTTCACTTAGCAACAGAAATTTTGTGCTCGATTGTAGTCATATGTGGAGGACTACCGATTGTCGTAAGCAGCCTGATAACAAATCTATCAGTTACTCTCCTTCCCCGTCCAAAAATGATGGAAAACATCATTCTGGCAGCCATGACAGTGTGATTGAAGCTGTTTTTCATGTGTGCTGTGATTTCTTTTAACCACAATCTGTGGATCCCTCTGCTGGAATTCTTTTGTAAAATCTTCTTAGTTTTTATTTTTACAACAAATCTACATATCAGTAGACTTTGTATCCTTAAATGCCAATCCACCTTGCTGGGAGAAGCCTTCCAACTGACATACTATAAAGCAAAGTGCCAATGTGTTATAATTTTTTTAAGTATCAGAATGTGAGTATGGATAGGTATAAAGACAGACACATACAAAGCTAGGACATGAAATACAGTACTGTTCATTATTGTGACAGCCTAGTGTAAAATGTAATTACAATTATTGTAGTGACTAAATGTTTACGTTCATAGCATCTATACTTCTATTAAAGCTATACTAATAGATTTAAATTATTGAAACCTCTGCTCTTATATTGTCTTTTCTATTTTTTCTTTCTCTCCATACTTGTTTAACTACAGCATGGGCCCAAGAATTTTTTTCTTACCTAGCTTGACTGTTGCTATACCATAATCTATTTTTTCTCCTTAACCCACTCATTCCCAGTGTCAGAACTATTATACTGTTTCAATCCACCTCAATTTATCTGCTCTGGATTTTACTATACTCTTTCTTTCAAAATCTACATGCTAGTTTACAGGTAATTCTAAAGCATTTAGAAGACATTTTTCTTTTTCTGTAACTGCCTGTGTTCTCAAAATTACAAGGGCATCCTGGCATGGTCATCAGAAATTAGAGAAATTATAAATATGGAACATGAAATAGGCAGTTGGGTATGAACATAATCTGAGGTCCACTGTTTTTTTTTAAGGGAAAACATTGAGGGGATGGAGGAATGAACAATTTATGAGGTGGATTAAGGTACAACTTCTCTATATTACAAGAAAAGTTAGGTTTTTTTTATTTGGTGATGGCAAATTTCATTATAATCTTTAAGATTTGTATTTGTGGCTGATGCATTTCTTTCTCTTTATTGCTAGAGGTCAAAATGGGTCCGGGCCTTGTATGATTTTGAGGCGGCAGAGAGTGATGAGCTAGGATTCTGCAGTGGAGATGTCATAGAAGTCCTCGACAACTCTGATGAACATTGGTGGAAAGGCTGTTTACATGGAACACTTGGTCTCTTTCCTGCCAACTATGTGCAATCAATTAACTAGTAAATTGTCATTGTTTCTGATAGGGGTTTAATAAGAATGTCCTATCATATAAATAGAAGATACTCTTTAAATGACTGGTTAATGTTCGTAGCTCCACAATCTTAACTACTGTTCAAACACACCACCTCCTTTTCAGCTCACATGTTCAGGAAGCACTCAGCTATGGACAGCTTTGATTTGTTTGAAACATTATAGCAGAAAAGTTATTTTTGGAACACTGTTAAAACTCTTAAATTCATTCGGTACTTTTAAAATTTTTGGGAAGTAGGTTAAAATATGCAAGTAGTCCTCAACGTACAACCACAACTAAGCCCAAAATTTGTATTGCTAAGCAAGCCAGTTGTTAAGTGAGTTTTGCCCCATTTTATGACCTTTCTTGCCATAGTCATTAAATGAATCACTGCAGTTGTTAAGCTAGTAACATGGTTGTTAAGTGAGTCTGGTATCTCCATTAACTTTGCTTGCCAGAAACCACAAAAGGTGATCACATAACCCTGGCAATCATAAATATGAACCAGTTGCCACACACCTGAATTTTGATCACGTGACTTGAGGACTCTGCAACAGTCGTAAATGTGAAAAACAATCATAAGTCACTTTTTTTCAGTGCCATTGTAACTTCAAACAATCACTAAATGAACTGTTCTAAGTCAAGAATTACAAATGTACATGCAGAACTTTATTTTTTTTTAAGGCAAACAAAAAAAAAATCCAAGAAAATTATTCAGTTTGTTGATCTGTACACCTATTATTTGCTTTCAGTTTTCTGGAGAAATTTGATTCAGTCCACTTGAGAAAAATAAAGTGTAAGTGTACTTTCTATCTTGGATTGAGTTGTATTTCCGTACTCTGATTCCCTACTTTTTGTAAGATTATAAATTTCTAGTAAGAAAGCTTGCAAATTTGCTCTGATCATTCTTCCAAATATTGTAAAGTATACATGCTTATTTCACTGAACAAATGCCTAAGAATATTAACATTTTGTTCTGGAACTAGAGCAAATGTTTCATTTTAGAGTAACTTTCTACATCCTAATACATTGAAAGAACAAGCAACCAGTTGAAGATTTTGAATTGTGGCCACTATGTTAACAATGCCTCTCATTTGCCATCACATAGCACCATATGATTCACAGGGCAAATCCTCAAAGTAAACATGTCTCAACTTTATACCTGATAGTAATAACTTTCTTCAAAGAATATTGGAAATTCAATTATGATAAATATGCTATTGGTCATAAACTATTAATCCAAGGTTCGTCCTGTCTCCTCCCAAGTGAAATCAAGCACATATGACAAGAAAAATATTTATCAGTAATTATAGTTACATAAACTGTTCGTGTCATTTTTTTTACCATTGTACATTTATTAAATTGTTGTAGTACCTGAACAAGTTCTCCTAGGCTGCTAAGAGATGCTCCAGTGGAAGGTTATAAAGAACGGAGCATGTCAGGGCTACATATTCTAATTGTATCACCTATGTTTTCTTGGCCTACTTAGATTGAATAGGCTATAACCCATCCTACTTCCTGTCCTCCTCTCCTCATGTACGCACAAACATCATTTGAGTAGACCCTGGATTCTGTACTTCTAGTACAAATACCAATATGTTGTTGTTTTTTAAAAAACTTTGCATGCAAGGATATATTTACCACTGCTATAGCAAAGTCTGGGTAGAACATTTTCTAGTATTTATTTTATTTATTTATTTTATTTATTTGTCAATTGTTTACGAGATAAGTAAAAGTGTATACATAATTATGAATACATGAAATGAGTACATATAAGAAAAATAAAAGAAAAATAAAAGAAACAATAGGACAGGGACGGTAGGCACGTTGGTGCGCTTATGCATGCCCCCTACAGACCTCTTAGGAAAGGGGTGAGGTCAATAGTAGACAGTCTAAGGTTAAAGTTTTTGGGGTATTGTTGAACCCTTCCACTTCCCCCCCAAAACTTGGAGTAAACCTTGTAACTCATCTTTACAAAACCGTATACAAAAGCATATACAAAATATATGCTTATTTTACTGTAATTCTGATGACTGTTTTAACTGACTTTAAAAATAATTCTGTAGAAATAGATAACTAGTCATCTCTTGTGAATGATAACTGAACTTTCTGAATGACTTATGTCTGCCAAGTCGTCCTGATTACAAAAAAAATCATTTTAAAAAATACAAGTACAATATCATCATGGTAAACAATATTTATCAATGCTGACAAACCACTGCTTATTCGTTTCACTGCCAGAAGAGTCTTTAATGTAAGTAAAAGCTTTTTGAAGTGGCCTCATTTGCATGAAACATAAAATATTCCATTTATGTTAATAGAAGCAGTAACTGGAAAGAACTGTAAATGTAGATATCAGCTACAATAGGAAGCAGACAAATAAAGGACTCACAATGAATTTAAATGCAAAATATACAGTCAAAATATTGCATGCATTAAGAAGAAATAATGCCCCAAAATGTTACAACGGATAATGTATAAGTAACTGCAAAAGACAAAAGATAACTTTTCAGTCATTAAAATTTCATAAGTAGCCAATTAAAGAAATGTGGAATACCTTGCCTAAATATTACACTATATATTAAGGAACACTAGCGTTCAGCTTCCTTATTGTTTTTTTGACTGAACAAATATTTCTAATGCATTCTACCTATGGTATGTCCCGTCTTCCCCAAACTATTACTGAATATCAATAGTCTGTTCTGCAAGTGAATGGAAATCCTCATACAAAGATATAATATATCCTATTGCAGTTTACAAATACCTGTTATGTTAAGACTAAGACTTCAAGAATTCCCACCTAAAAAAGCTTTCTGTAACATTGCTTAGGAATTCTGTGACCTGTGTAAACCCAACATACCTGGTTAACAGTGTTTTATGGCTTTGTTAGCGAGGAAGGCAGGCACTGTCTCAGAAACTTGTCCTTCCCTACCCTTTTATAGAACTTCAGCCCCTAACACAATGTAAATCCTACATACAGTGCTTCTGAAGGAGGTGCTGCCTTCCAATTTAAGGATCATTTAGCACTAGACACCTACCATTATACACAAATCAAATTCATTCATTATGTTAACCCATAATTTGTTTAACCATGGCTTACTGAGTAAGCCACAAATTATCATCATGTTATCCAATTTGGAAATGAAATAACTGCAAGAAAACAATCAAGTTCAGAGAACACCAAGGACCCCACAGTTCAATCCCAAGCTACAGATATTCTCTTCTCTCAGTTTACAAACTGTAATGGCTAAATTAATAGATTGCACAAACTAAAATCAAACAAACCACATTATTGTTAAAAGTAATACATAGTTCAAGTTTTACTGTGCACATGAAGTAATCAGGATAAGTAAAAGTAGAATAAACTCCATTAGTCCTCTTTGCTACCATCTCACAAACTGCAGATTGGTGTTATCCCCAATGGAGGACTTCTTTCTTGATTTTGGTTCCAGACTATGAACGCATATGCAGCATTTGGTCATTTTTTGATAGGTCTTCTCTCCTTATACAGTATACATTAGACCACTAGCACACTGGCTGTAGAATTGTGGAACTTAACAGGATCAACTGGAGTTTTGCAGCCTAGTATGGTAGCCCTACCACCACAGTCCCCTCTCCAATAGCATAGCATCCCCATAGAATTATAATCCTATTTAAAACATAAAATCAAATCAGTAGAATTTCAAATGTATTTCTACAAATGTGTACTCCAAATTCCATATACCCAAAGTATTATAATTCTGATTCTTCTTTTGACATGCTAAACCAGTATTTCTGGTTGACAATACTGTTCTGGGTTGGGTGCATCTATTTCTCCAGATCAGTTTGTAAAATTCTTCCAGTGATTTTCACAAAGCATGAGCAAGATTATACCTAGAGATTATCATCTGAGATTTGAAATAGTTTCATCTTTCCAAAAACATTGCTACAGCCCTAATATTTTATTGTAACTTCTGATGTAGAACCACAAATCAAGGTAAAGTATCAGCTACAATTGCTACCTGTGTTTGGGTAAGCCACTTAATTAACTTGTTATGAGTTTTCAGTTGCAATAATAAACACAATTTACTTTAGATTAGGTCCTGCTGAACATATTCTGCCTTACTCTGAATAAACACAAATTGTAGAGCTGAGCATGTTTTGAAAATGATTAAAAGTTCTTTGGACTTCAGAAGGATGGCTCTTCACTATTCATTAAAGAAGCCGAACTTGCTTAGGTGTTTGTTTGAACCTGAAAAAAAATGCTGCCTTTCAAACACATTAACTTTGAGAAGATTCTTTAAAGCAACAGATTTGAAGGGTGTGCACACTTATGCCACCACAAATTTGTAAGTTTTTTTTATTCCCCCCCACCAAAAGGTTTGTTTTTCAATTTAATTGCACAGCTTATATGTTATAATAAAGGTGAAAAAATTCTGAAGTAGTTTATCTTGGTCTGGGGTTTTTTTTACATCTTTTTACAACTGGTATTTTAACAAGCGTGTATAAACCTTTTATATCCACTGTATTTAAATTCATTCTACTGGTCCTGTATCAAGCAGGTTCATGATTTCAAAGAAATTCCCAATGTTGTCCTTCTAAATGAGTTCTAAAGACTTTAATGTAGTCATGTCATGTATAACCTGAAAGATGCTCAGCCTCTTCTCAGTAGTACATTGAATGCCATCAGGCCTGAGGGACTCGTAATCTAGTACTATAGCAATTGTCAATTGTCAATTGCTTCATCTCACCGTTTTTCAAACTTGGCTTCCAACAACTGGGGAATTCTGGAACTTGAAATCCACGTGTTAAACTTACCAGATTTTAAAGACGCTGCTTTATCTTATCTATGGGTTAAATGGGTTAAATGGGTGGGTTAAATTGATTATTTTATTGTGGCTTTCTCCCATGCAATATCAAATGATGCATTTGCCATTGTTACTAAAATGATCATTTGCCTTGAACATCTTCATATCACTTGTGACTGAGGTAACACACAAATTAATTATATAAATAAATTGCCTCTTGGAAATTTGTCATACTTTTTCCTCTCAAAAAGAGCAATTAGTTCTTTAAAAGCAAATCATATGTAATCCATATACATAATCCACACACAGTTGTAGAGATAAAAGAAAAGATTGATATATAAAAGGCTGTGACAAAAATTCAGATATCTAGACTGGAGGCCTTAAAAATTGGCAGGAGGAGGAGGAGGAGGAAAAGGGAAGTACAGTGACAAAACTATTCAAGACTGGCCTTTTGAATAGCAATGAAGCATCTTGTATCCTGTGTCCTCTTTTCTGAATTAATGATTTCTGCA